TTTTCACTTATATGAAATTTTAATTTATATATTTCATACTAATCTTTATATTGATGATTTATTTAAAAACTTCCCAAAAATTATTTTTATACATTTTTAAAATTAAATTATAAGATCAAATGACGATGTAGACTGTAGAATATGTCTACAAAGTAGACTTCTAAGAAGGTCTACAAATGTGTAGACTTCTCTCTATTATATGTAGACATGCAAAGGACAGAACCGTAAAATAACTGTCTGTTTTTTTGTTTGGTCACAAGGGTTAAGTAGTAACTCCATAACCTCTTTAGGTTGGTTTTGCATTTGACTCAATAAGGGGTACACCTTTAGGGTTGAAATGAAATTTTAGGTTGGTTTTGGCAAATCCCCCAAGAATTAAATTGTAATTTGTTAATATTTTTTTTTTCTTTTTAATATGATCTGGGTCAACCTCTAATTTATATGTATAAAATTAAATAAATTATTATTATTATTATTCTCACTATTATTATAATTATTATAACATTATATGTTCTTATTGTAGTTAGATGTTTAATTTTGGATATAAATTAGATTAGTCGAGTCATTCATTTTGGAGTATATTGAGTTAAATATATTTTTAAATTAAAATTGAAGTATAATTACTTTTTATTTTAGTTAAGTCAATCAAATTAGTTTTATTTATCGCTTAAATATACATGTTTCATAATATTTATTTACTCTTTATTTTAGTTAAGTCAAATCAAATTAGTTTATTTATCGCTTAAATATACATGTATTTTCATAATATTTATCAAATCATATGTTAATTTCTAAAGAATATTAGAAAATAAAGTGTAACTGGTAAATTTTTGAATGTTCATGAACATATATATTTTAATTATTTTGAAAATATATTTTATGTTATTTAAAAAGGGGGAATTGCCAAAACCAACCCAAATATTCATTTTAACCCTAAAGGTGTACCCCATATTCAATCAATTGCAAACCCAACCTAAAAGGGTGTTAAAACTACTATTTAACCCTTATGAACAAACAAAAAATGTGGAATATATTTTAGATTATGTCCTCCGTAGGTCTACACTTTAAGAAAGAAGTCTATAACTAGGTAGACTTACATTAACGTCTACTGTGTAGACTAGTGTAGACTTATTATTTAGTCTATATCTTAATTTAATCAAATAATTTAATTTTAAAAATGTAAAAAAAATGTTTTTGGTAATTTTTTTAATAAATCATGAATTTAAAGGTTAGTATGAGGTATATAAATTAAATTTTCTTATAAATGAACAATTTAAAAGAATGTATATTGATTTGGGAACTATGTGGTAGACAATGTTAATGGTTTAGCAACCAAAGGTTCTAACATGTTATGTCTTTTAGAGTTAGATTCTTAGGGTTAGATTCTACATTTAAAATAATTTTGTTTTAATGATTCAAAATTGCATATTTAATGTTGAGTAGTTTATATTTTGTATATATGATATTTGGTACAATGACTAAGATTTTTTTTATAATCAATCAAACCTTTAGGATTTGAGATTTGGGGTTTAGGGTTTGAGATTTCTGGTTTAGGGTTTAGTAGACTTACAGTTAAGTCTACTGATATGTAGACGTCTATTTCAGTCTACGTTAATTTGTGTTTACCAAAATAAATTATTTTAAAATTAAAATTAACTAAGCGGGAAATGAAAATGAATTTTGGAGCCTATTTTTCCATATTGGCGCCAATATTTAGGGTATAGTAGATTTACAGTAAAGTCTACTTATATGTAGACGTATATTTCAGTCTACGTTAATTTGTGTTTACCAAAATAAATTATTTTAAAAATTAAAATTAACTAAGCGGGAAGTGAAAATGAATTTTGGAGCCTATTTTCCATATTGGCGCCAATATTTAGGGTATAGTAGACTTACAGTAAAGTCTACTTATATGTAGACGTATATTTCAGTCTACATTAACCAATTTAACCTAACCGAAAAAATTACACAGCATATAAATACTTTTTTAGGGTTTTCTGATAAAAAGAATCATAATCACGCCATTTAGATTTGAGGCGGTTTAGGGGGCGATTTCCGGTGAGATTTCCGGCGAACCCTCGTTGACTCCGTTTTCACACCCAGCCACCTTCCTCTCGGAACCACCATTCACCACCACGGCCATCACCACTATCCTCTCCTATCCTTCAGCCATCTCCACCTTGTCTCCTCCTCATCTCCTCCTCGTCACCACCATTACTCTCCGCCTCATCTCCTCCTCATCTCCACCATTACTTTCCGCCTTGTCTCCTCCTCATCTACTCCTCGTCATCACCATTACTCTCCTCCCTGTCTCTCTCTCTCTCTATATATGTGTTTATAAAGACTCTCTGCATCTCTTATTGTTTTGATTAAAGTGTTCAATTTTCATTCTAGGGTTTGTATATGTTCAATTTATTTTCTGTAAATTGAAATGCATATGTCGTTGACAAAAATTGATGAAGTGTTATGAGTTAATACATGTTTGTAGTGTACAAGCATGTGTTATGTTTTATTGATTTCTCTAGCTTCTTTTGTTGCAGGTTGCTCCCTGAATTTTACTGCAGACTACGATTTGTAGACTGTCTTATAGGTCTACATTAATTTAGACTGAATATACAGTCTACATAGAAAAAGCTATTTAAAATTGAATTTGTGTATTGTTTATTTTAGGTTTCAGATTCTGTTTAGAGAAACATTGATTGTTCATTATATTTTCGGAAGCATTGTCTTAGATTCTGTATAGAGAAACACTGATTTTTTTATTATACAGTTGGATGCATTGGGTTAGCTTAAGCTTGTTTTACTCACTCTCTGAAGTTGAATCATTTATTAGAGTGGTTAGGATGTGTTTTTTGATTACTAAAAAGATTTGAACTTTAATTGAGAAAATCTATGTGAGTTTCATGCTTTACTCATAGCTTTTAATCTTAATTAATGTGACTGAAATCAGATGTGTAGTGCCCATTAATCACTGTCAAGTCCTGTGTACCATACTCTTAGTTTAGTTATGGTCGTTTTTTTCCCATATTATTCTGATTTGTTTTGTTGAATCTGACTTCTTTTGTTTTGTTTTCTGTAGATTAACCTTCATTCTTCGTTGATGGGACATGAAGAGTGGAAGAAGACCTTGAGTTGTTGAAGAAGTTTACGGTGGAAGAAGAAGATGAAGCTGCTGGAGTCTTCAATTTTTTTAGGTTTAGATTTTTTTAAAGATTTGGTTTGGTGTAAACCAAGTTGGGGAAATTGTGGTGGTTTGACTTTAGTTTCTAATTATTGGTTTAGTTTTGTAAACTAGTTTTAATTTATAGATAAAATTTATTAGTTTTCTTTCTTGTAGACTTACAAAGAAGTCTATTTGACAGAGAAAAATATAACATAATTTACCTGCGGAGCCTCGGCTGGTGGTAAAGGAACCTCGGCTGAGGTGCCCGCCATCCGACTTCGAATCCCGGCCACCACATAATTTACCTGCGGAGTTGGTGTGGCGCTCCAGACCACTTTGCGTAACCAGGGGCCCTTAAGTGGACGCTTAAAAATCCTGTCATGGCATGGGCTTAGGCCCGGTGGGCTAGTCGATCACGCTTAGTGGTCGGATACTGGGTTATCAAAAAAAAAAAAAAATATAACATAAGTTTATTACATTAGACAACATCTAAAGCAACAATATAGTTTATAAGTTCAACACAGACTAAAGACTTACAAATCCAATAGAAGACAACTCAAAGCAATGAGACACTAATACATAATAGAACATTCATAGCAATAAGAAAACTCATAAGTTCGACACATAACACGAACACATCTAGAGTTTTTCACCACCCATTCTCTGTATACAATGAGTAAGTGAGACATCTCCTGCAAAAAAAAAAAAAATACGGTTTACATAATTAGTAAACAAAAGTTTCATGTTTGATAAAATTATAAAATAAACTTACAAGTACATCTACAATTATTAGCAAACAATATAGTTAAACCAAAAATTATATCATAGACTTACAAGTACGTCTACAAATTTTAAGCTAACAACATAGACAAACAAAAAATTTGATAACTTCCTAATT